GGGGGGGGGGGGGCGGGGAAGGACACATATGTAATACTCTTTGTAAAACTTTAAGCAATAAAACAAAATTTAAAAAATAGAAATAAAAAAATAAATGTATAAAGTAGAAGGATAAAAAAAAAAGAATCCAGAGAGTTTCCTTCCAGTTTTTCTAATGGGTCCAACAAAGACAGAGTGAACACCAGAGATAAGTAATTCATCATATTTTCCATTGAGTGTGTGCTTAGAGAAATTGCCATCTTTCTACACAGCCAGAGGCAGCCAATTATCTACGACAGCTGATTTCAAAAGCTTTCACTTCCTTATGCTCTCTAATCTTAGTATGGTTGGAATAACAATTATTGATTGAATTTTGAATTTGAAACAACTTACTTTCTGCTTCAGTTTCAGGGTTAAGCAGGAAAAAATGTCTTTGAATGCCTTAATGAGTTTATTTTAAATGTACATTGTATATCATACACCACTTGAAAGTTATCCTTACTATGATATAGCTACAATATTTTTGTAGCTTTTAAGTCTTTTATTAATCTTATTACTCAATTATTATCTTTACAGATATGAGAAGCAAACTTTCAGGAGAGATTGGCCTTTTAATGAAAAATAATAACCACCCTAGTGAAGATGATATATCATAGCAAGGATAACACCATGTTTCAAATCTCAAAATATCTATTTGAACTCTATAACTACTTATTACGTTTTAAAAACTTTTATCCAGACTACAGGTCCAATAGAAATCCAATATATTTGTAAGGGTAAGTATCAGAGAAAATAAGAAAATGATTCTAAAAATGTTTTAATATGTTGACATTTTTTTTCTTCTTTCTCTTTAAGCCAACCAATCAAGGAAAACTTTTAAATTCTTAGGCTTGTTGACAATACCAAGCCAAATGGGTTATTCTACCATTAGACTAAGGATCCTGTTTCAGAATTATAAAACAAACTGACCATTAATTTTAAAAGTCAACCAAAACTTGACCTCAGTTTACCACTAATATCAATTCCACAAAGGTTAATGTTGACACATCTAAAAATGAAACCTTTAAGAACAACTGGTAAGTCTTCAGCACTCAACTAATGTTCTCTAAAGTAATCATTAACAATGGTCTTTGCCCCTCTCTTCAATACATTACCATCCTTAAGATAACTCATCATTTTTGAAACAATAAATACAGTATAAATGATATCGAGTCTGAGGGCTCACTCCAAATCTCAGCTAATGGCTTATTATATTTTCTAATCGTAGATGGCTTTATCTATATCTTTGATTATTCTTATAGTCTTAAAATTTAAACATTAAGTTTCCTGGCCAAACGTAAACTGTTACAGCTGTATGCACATTCAGCAATTTCTAGTAAAAGTGCATGTCAGTGTTTTCCCCTATTTCACTCAGATAATTTCTTCACCTCTGACACCATTTATGCTGTATTTGCATGTAAATTTTTGGTAGTATATTTTTCCTTTTTTGTAAGTTGTCTATAATTGTTTTTAGAAAATGAAAAGTGTGATCAGTCAGGTCCCAGCAGAAAACAGAATGACTGAGGAGAACGTAATCAAGGAGATGTCTGCCAAGGTGTGGGCAGAGGAACCAACCCAACATAGTGCAGTTCCTTGGCATTGGCAACCATGAGGAGCTATTCCACACCAGGTTTGAAAGAGTGAGGGGAGGAAGGCATTGCTGGAACCCAGAGGGAAACAGTGAACGGGGAAGGGCCACCTGACAGGAGGATGAAGGAACAGACATCCCTACCTCACTCTCTTCCTGCCCTCTGACCTCCTGCTACAGCCTTCCACGGGCCAAAACCAAAGAGACCAGAAGGCAAAGAAGTTGATGTCACCCACAAGGGTCAATGTCCCAGGGCACAGAGCAGAATGGATCAGGATGGAAAATGGGTTTGTACAGGCAAATGACAGATGAGCCGTTCAGGAAGAAAGGCAAGCCAAGCTCACGTACTTCATGCAGCTACTTGCATTTTGCTATTTGTTCTTGTGTCTTATTTTGTACTGTAAGCTCTTTGAAGGCAGGGATTTACAGAAACAATCTTAGATCCCACACAAACCTCCCAGTAGGCACTTAAGGTATATACCTGAACAAGGGACAAAACAGGCCATCTGTCTACAGGTCACAGCATGACTCTGATGCAGGGAAAGCTCACACAGGCACATCTTTGCACCTGACCCTGAAGAGCCCTCAGAAACGGACACCGATGAGGCTAATCTTTCCACATTAAAGAGAGGGCCAAAAGAGGCCAAGGTCCCAAGACTTCTATCAACAGCCAGACTGATCACTCAGCTCTGCCTGACACCCCCATGTCAACACAGGACAGAGTGCGCCTGCGTTCTAACAAGTAAGATCCTAACCCCTGGATCATCCTGCCCAACACTTCCTAAGCTCCAGTGCTGAACCTTGAATCTACTCTTGATAGATTGAGACCAAAATAAAACTTCATTTACATTTCATTCCATTTCTTAAAAAAAAAAAATCTGTTACTTAAGAGCCTATAAAACCTCTTGTCTCTGAGACTTTAATGAGGCACTAGTGCTTCTATGTTTATATGAACACCGGACTTATCTTCCCTTATCAACTACCACTTGCATAAATCTCCTTAGGAAAGGCCCTCAGCCCCACCCTGCCCTGCCCTCCCCTCCTGCCTCGGTGCTCCTGGCTTCTCTATGGAGATACCACTCCACATTCCCGGGCTGGCAGGGTTCCATTAGCAGCTCCTTCCAGGACGTGGAGATGCCTCCCTATTTCCTCTGACCTTCTCCCAGACAAGCACTGTACTGGCAACACAGTAAGCGCTGAACAAACTCGTCAACTAAATGTACTGTGTGCAGATACCTTTGCATTTAGTAAAAACACCAATTCTTTTCAGAAATACAATGAGAATATAAAAGGTTGAAGGACCACAGGAATGACATTTACATTTCATTATGATTGTGCTGTCAATAAAGTCCCAAGTACCTATTTTAACAAACCATGAACTTCCTACTCCATCAAGTAAAAAACACCAAATACTATGCCCCACAATCAAATCTTTGCAGCGGTGTGGCAATGAACTATGATGTTTACCTTACCAGGAATACAAAGCAAATGACTTACTACTGTTATTTCTAAAATGAGGAGATGATCAACAATTGTACTTAACTTATCAAAAGAGCTCTGTACAGAGACTACTTTGAGGGAAAAAGAGCTCATAAAACTTATGGCACAGGCTGGCACCGTTTGGGGGCTCAGTCCATCTGGTTTTCCATATGACCTAACAAACTGATAATTCCTTAAAAAAAAAATTTGTGGCATAAAATAATTTGAAAGCAGCAAAGAAACAATATTTTTGTAGCTTTTAAGTCTTGTATTAATCTTATTATTCAATTATTATCTTTACAGATATGAGAAGTATTTCAGAATAGATTGGCCTTTTAATGAAGAGTCTTCATATGTATCTCATCTCTGCCTCTCCTTGTAAGATTCTGATTCCTCCTCTTGCTTGAGGCCATTCCTAACAAAGTGTAGTTGATACCACTCCCTCCCACCTCCTCTGGTACCTGCCCCATCTGTTGTCCTCTCTCCTCCTCTATCACCTTCTTGCCCCACTGGCTTACTCTTTCTTTCCAGACAATATATACACATCTTAGTCACTCAACTCCTTAAAAAATAATAACCAACACAAATCTCCCTGGCCCCTACAGAAGTCCCTACAACTACCACTCCATTGCTTTCTTTCTCACTTGAAAGAGCCTGTGGTGGGCTAGCTTCCTGCAACTCTACTTCCTGTTCCCTCCCTTTCTTGAGCCGAGGCCTGATACCCCCATTCTACTGCACCTGCTCTCCCAAAGGACACCCATTTCTTGCACATGCCAAACTCACTCAGCCTATGTCTCGCTGGCCTGCTCTACCATGTTTGATACCACTGACCTCTCCTTCCCATGGCTACTATGAGGCTAGATTTTCTTTTCTGGTTGTTCTGGTCTCTCTGACCATTTTGCTTACTCAGCATTTCTTTGCCCATGCCTCAACTGCTGCTGTCCCTAATGGTTCTATTTCATTACTGCCTCTGTCTTCCTCTCAGCCTTCTCAGTCCTGTCTCCAATTCTCTTGCATCCCCCTCCCCTTTTGCCCCCATTCTCACTCTCTCCATGTCCTCCTTGGAG